CACATAAATATCATCAGAAGTTTTTGGATACATCTATTGGATTAATTGTCTGTATTTAATTTATGAATTGCACGTGTAAAAAATTGCACCCTGTTAACTTTTAGCCGTGTACTCGGTTATGAACAAACAATGCCAACGTTAATGCTGTTATTCAAATTTTAAGTTTGCTACACTATTTTTAGAACCTACGCATAGCCCCCACACATGTATGATACAGCTAATCGGGACGGATAAGCATTCCAATTAATAGAACTAATTTTTATTAGATAAGTTTGAAATAATCTCTTCTTCTTTGCGTAAAAAATGCCAAAAAGAATCCATTAAAAAACAAAAATTTTTGCTTTCCTCTCAAAATTCAAAGTTCAATTATGTTCAAATAATAAACTTGGCATGGATTACTTTCCCGAAAACTGTGTCCAGCAAGGATAGCCAATTTATTTTACAGTTTTTCAACGGTAAATTTATTTCACTTTATAGCAATTTTTAAACAAATTTATTTATAGTTGTTGGTAAACTATTACCATCAAGTATTCTTGGTTTTGAAATAAGTAGAGCTATTGAAATTTTTGTCAAAACTCCAAACTAACTTTTAACAAAAAATTATTTTAAACTACGTCAATAAAATGTACTAAAAACACTATTTTTAATCAATTACCTTTGGCTTTATAGAAGCTAAAACACCCTTCACACAAATAGTTATATTCCAACTATTTATTACATGTTTATATTTAAATAAACGGTTTAAAATAAGGCAAAATAATGTAAAAATAAAAGAAATAAAAAAATAATTATTATTTTGTACAAATTGATCCAATTTTCGATGAGATCATTTCGCATCAATTGAAAACTGAAAGTCTAAAAATTTTTCAAATAATTAGTTAAGCAAATAAATAAGTAAACCCTATACAAGAGTAGAGCAAACGGTAGCGGGTAAACGGTTTAGTTGGGTTAATCTACCCAATATTAAATATATATTTTACATTTAATTAAAAAAATTTACTCGCTAAAAAATTAATTTAATTATTAAATAAACTTGAATATAATACTTACATCTTTTCATTGGTTGACAAGATGATATTCCGTTACTACCGAAACTTTCTACCCAAGCTTTTGTGTTACTGCTACAAAAACTTTTAGATATTTTTTTTAAAGCTTAAGTCACATTGCTAATTATTAAGCTATTAGATACTATAACATATTATTGTTTATATATATAGGTTTATAAATCTTCTCGAACGTTTAATTTTATTTTCTGAAAAGTATTGACATACATTCTGTATAAAAAGTATCTGATATTTATAATTTCTACCAAGTTTCTCTACCGAGTATATATATGTGATCGTTATTATTGACTATTTTTATTCTTAAAATACAATTACTTAACAAAATACAATATTGCTTTTCTCACCGAACCTTAACAATTAACCATTGCATGGGTTTTATATTTTCAGCATTGCCAGGTGTCTTGTTTTCATCAAGAGTGACAATTTGATATTTTTTGGGTTGCCATACTTGTTGTACTGTTGCCACATATATATACTTGGTACCACTGTACCGTGTTAGTATATGACTTGTTATATATCATTCGTAGTGTCTTGCGATGTTCACTACGATAATATCAGTTTAATAGAGTTAGACTTCAATTGAAATGTTGAGTTATTGAAAAAAGGCGTAGAGTAAGTTGAGATATAGTTTCTAATTTGCCTCAACTTTTCCTGTTCTCGAGAGCTAACTTTCTCCGTCTTACAAATAAAGTAAGAAGGTTTGCATTCATAACGAATGTGTGTCCATTTCTTAATTGATTTCTTTCAATACATTTTGATCTATCGGCATTATAGATTGATTAAACAAATTTTGCACTTAGGCCTGTTGATTACTGAATTTGTCTTTAGAGAAGCCATTGAAACTACTACATTCTAACTAACTATTCATAAGTTGTTTGAACTTTGATAAAGCCAAAATCAATTCTTCCTCTCATTCATTAAATACAGTATGCAACTCATTTATTTAAAATCCTATTTTATAAAATAAGAAGAGATTTTTTATATTTTATAAATAAATTTAAATTATATAACAACACAGTTTAATATTACGATAACTTATTAGTCTTGCGTATACGTTATTAATAATATTGTAACATTTAAGCTAGATAACTAGTCTTAAGTAACTGATTTACCCATAGCATTTCTTAAAAAAAAAAATTAATTAATGCAACTAAGTCTTCACTGATGAGAAAAACAGCGTTATAAATCTTTATAGCCAAACTACAATTTCAGGAAATAACTTTCTTATGCATAAAGATAGACAAATTATTCAAAAAATCTTTTCTACCAGATAATATTAATTGGCACTACAGCTAAATTAGAGTCATGGGTATTCTTCTATATATTTTCTGTTTATTGCAATTGCTTTCTAGTCAATGAAGCCGAGTTGTTTCAGACCAGTTGTCCCACCTCATATCAGTGGAGAACTGCAGGTATCTCACCTTCACCTCTGTGTTTGAATTTTTGAATCACAACTTATAAATAATGGATTAAGGTTTGTTTTCAGCGATAATTCGTTCTTCAGCGATAATTGATTGTATTATGTTTACTTTTTTCTTTGTGCTCAAAACTCCAGCTTCTGGAGCTTTCTCACTGTCACGGCCTCATAACCGTATTTCTATTTTGAGTTATATTATTGGCTATTTTGTAGATATATCTAATATATTCGAAAAATAGTTGATTGTTTTAGTAAAATCTAAGCGTCTGCTGTTCAATAACAAAAGTTTGGAAGGAGATTTTTTAATTGCATTATTTAATTCTTTGCAACTGTTACAGCTCAAATTGCTCATAATATTTAACATTCAAAACTTTATTTTGAAGACAGTTTTGTTTCTAAAACCAAAACTTTTTGTATACAATTAAATTAATTTTTTTTCAATTTTCCGCTTTTAAACATAATATGATTTTTTTTCAATTTGGACGACCACTTGTATTCTTTTTACAAAACAAGAAACCTTTGACCGTGAATTTAATTTTTTGTTTCTATTATCTCTAATATTATGCATATGGAGACATTTATATGTGTTACACAACACAGAAGAGACAGTGAGCTCATGCCAACACTTACATGTACTCGTACGAACCACATGGCAATGGCAGGAATCGTACGCAAGGATGGGCAAGGACATTTGCTGCAAATAACTTTACGTCAGTTGCAAAAATTGCATATGCAATACACACAACATTTATATTAAAGTTTTTGTAGCTTATAAAAACAATGGCACTTGAAATCCTACGTTAGTATATAGTATGTAAGGATTTGTACATAACAAGAATTTTATGGTCCATGGAACAATGCGCTAGATACTTGCGGTTTTTGTCTGCATTGATTTCAAAATTGGCGAAGTTCTGCCACGTAACACAACAACAGAAATGCACACAAAAATTACACAAGGATACGCACAAGAAATATAAAATAGGTTCAATCTGATTGTTATGCACTGGGAGTGCTTGAGTTTCACAAATTTACTTGCAACTCATTTAATATGTTATCTCCATTAATGGTAGAAATTTATTCTATTTTCAGTAGAAATGAAATTACACAAAATTATTACTATGAGTGAGATTTATCAGATTATTATTACATACAAAATAATAATAATAATATTATGTAAAAACATTAATTATCAAATGTAGATCTTATATTGGATTCGCAAGAGAGTTTCGTTTTTAATTTTAGCTGTCAAAGCTGACGGCTAAAATCACAAACATGACAGCTAAAATTACAAACAAAACTCTCGTGTGAATTCAGTATTAGAGGAGAAATCACTAATTTGATCAGTAGTTTGATGGAATACGAGTTCAGATCAGTAAAGAAGAGGTTGATATATTCTCGTAATTCAACTCAAATAGTCTTTTGACAGTCTTATATCATGTTAATTGGTAAGTTTTTATACTTAAAAATTAAAATAGCGATTTGAAGACCAAATTCATCTAACACAATTGATTAACTGTTAATTCAAATAACTGGTTTTTATGTATTAATTTCATTCTACTTCAAATAGTTCCCAATAGGATCAACAGAATTGGCAAAAATATGTGCTTAACTTAGATATCTATATAGAAAAGATTATATATATTATATATATAATCAGATTGTTTCTGGTTTTTTCGATAGAATCTAAAATGTATGAACTAAATTGAGGCTTGGGCGATTCTCCCGATGTCCCGATAAATAAAATTCATGTAGTTTTTTAAATACTTTTTCTAACAAAATAAGTCAGCAATCTCACTAATATGATCGTCAATTGTTTTTTTTAAATATCTGAGATTCTTAAATCTGACTTTGCATATGGACTAAACCAGGGTTTGAATTGCTGTTGCTAATTGCATTGCTTGCATAATTGCTAACGCATTGCATATGAAAATGAAATAAGAATATGCATTAGCAACAGCAAAAAACGTAAACTGGTTTCATTTTGATTGCTTGCTAATAGTCAATTTTACATTTTTGACTATTATGCATTTGGAATATATGCAACTTGCTTGCTTATGCGTTAGTTGCTTGTGTTTTGCTATTAGCAAATGTGTATGGATTTCTTTTTTTGTTTTTGTTTTAAGGGAATGTGTACGCATTATTTCTTTGTCAATTATGATGTGTGCGTACAATTTGTATGCAATTAATATAATTTTATTTGTAATTAGATAATGCCTAAACTTATGTTTATTTTAATTATTAAATTTATGAGCAAAAAAGAGTTATTTCGCTGCTATATTGGCTTAGTAACTGAGGACAGTATTCCATTTAATGTCCTTAATTCGGAAAATATGAGAAAGATTATTGACCCTATTTGTCGTGGCTTAGAAGAAAAATTTAATAAAAAATTTGTATTGAACAGCAATAACTGTAAAAGTGTCTTGAAATTAGTTGCTGGCAACATTAAAGAACATATTAAAAAAGAGCTCAAGCAACGATTGATTTCCTTAAAAATTGACAGTGCCACAAGATTGTCTCGCAATATATTTGCTGTTAGTGCACAATTTATAAAAAACAACGAAATTATATCAACCATTTTAGGAATGGTGGAACTGAAAGGAGTGGCATCAAGTTCATCTCGTAATTTGTCGACGGAAATTGTGAACTTATTGAGCAAATACAATGTAAATCTCAATCAAGTTGTATCAATTACATCAGATAATGGTGCAAACATGATCAAAACGACAAAGATTTTATCGCACTGTAGCATCGCCAACGAGCTGTACGAAGAAGTCGAGGCTGAGGAAGCAAATGATGTATATTTAAAAAATATCGAACTTTTCGAAGATACAATTGACATTCAGTTGGGCGACATTCAAATTTGCCGTTGTGCTGCTCACACTGCTCAGCTCTGTGCACTGGATGCTACTAAGGACTTGAACATTAGAACTTATTTGATGAATTGCAGAAACTTAGTCAAGTTCATCAAAAAAAATTCTAACGGCTATCGTGAAATTTTTGAACTAAAAAAGTTGACTCTACCACAACTCGATTGTCCTACACGGTGGGGATCGACATATAATATGGTAGAAAAAGTTTATGCAGCCAAGGAAGTTTTGGACAACGTAGAGTCTGTACAAAATAAATCTTTAGATGAGAATTTTGAAATATGCGATGAATTTTGGGAGTTTGTGAAGAGTTATTCTACTGTGTTTGAACCATTACAACGAACAATCATAAAATTTCAAGAAGAACATCTGCATTATGGAAATTTTTTTGCACAGTGGATGAAGTGCAATCTTATAACCAAAAAAATTGTAAATGATTTTGATGATAAAAGTTCTCTTGTAAATAAAATTGGAACGAATTTGTTGCATAATATAGAAGTGAGAACTGTAAAACTTCTAACAAACAAAAGCTTAAACGCATGTTTGTATTTGGACCCACGCTTTAGCCATACATTGACTGTAGAGCAAAAAAACGAAGCTGTTCTGTTTTTAAAACGACTATATAATAGACTGACAGCACTGAACTCAGGTTTCCTGATTGATAAGAAGAATTCAGCCACAAATTGCACACAAATGGAAGATACTCTCGAATATGAGGATAGGTACCTTAATGATTATCTTTCTAACCACTTCGAAGCTCAAAGTAATAACAACATGGACGTCTACACCAAAATTGAAATTTTGAAGTTACCTTTTCAACGTGTTGATATAAATGTATTGGACTTTTGGAAAGAAAGACAGTTTGCTGATCCAGAATTACATGCGCTTGCGAATATATGTTTTGCAATTCCACCAACTCAGGTAAAATATTCGTTTAGCATAATATGAATAATCAAATTAATGTCATTTACATTTAAGGTTACCATCGAGCGTGCTTTTTCGTCACTAAAATTGATATTATCTGATCAACGGAATCGTCTTAATCATGAAACTTTAGAAAACATTCTCATGGTTAAACTAAATCCGCAATTTTTGGACCATGCTATTGATGATATGCCGTTGTTTCAACCTCCTGAATGGGACTTAAATTTAGAAGAATAATAACATCAAATTAAAATTTTTAATCATAATTGATAACAAAGTTTTTATGTTTTTTACCGGGCGTAGGTCGTTTATTAAACACATTAATTTATAAAAACGTTTTTTAAATAAAATAAAAAATTTCACTTTTTAAACTGTTTTAAATATTAAGTTATATTTTAATTTTAATACAAAATTATTTATATTAATATATATATATATATCTATCTATATATATATATATATATCATATATATCATAAATTTAATAATTAAAATAAACATAAGTTTAGGCATTATCTAATTACAAATAAAATTATATTAATTGCATACAAATTGTACGCACACATCATAATTGACAAAGAAATAATGCGTACACATTCCCTTAAAACAAAAACAAAAAAGAAATCCATACACATTTGCTAATAGCAAAACACAAGCAACTAACGCATAAGCAAGCAAGTTGCATATATTCCAAATGCATAATAGTCAAAAATGTAAAATTGACTATTAGCAAGCAATCAAAATGAAACCAGTTTACGTTTTTTGCTGTTGCTAATGCATATTTTTATTTCATTTTCATATGCAATGCGTTAGCAATTAGTCGTTTGACAAAAATCGACTGGTCCATAGTTATGCATTAGTCAAAATATGGTTGCTTTTGCTAATTTTCAGCAAGCAATTCAAACCCTGGACTAAACACACATTTCTAGAATCAAATTCTTCAGTTCTGAAACAAATCTTTTAATTCAAATGTAGATCAAAATCTGTTCATCCCTTTTTTAAAAATATTAATATGAGTAAAAAGGGATATTGCATTATCCATTATTACATACTTATAAAATTCGACTGTCATATATCATCTGAAAAAGAATTACATTAACGATCAGTAACCACATTTATTTATATCAAACACTTATGTAAGGAAGTAATTATTGCTAAACATTGTTTAAATGACTTCAATTATAGCTGTTTCTTAGTATATTAAATGAAAATCATTATTCAAAATTCAAAATAATATTTAAAGTACTCCGCTTCAAATTCAATTTAATTTGTACTGTGTAAAATAATATGAAATCAACGTTTTAAATCATTGACTGAGATTTAATGATTTATAGACTTACTTTTCATTAAGAATGCATATTTTTGAGCAACTTCAGGTCACAGGATATAAAATCAATTGAGTACGGAGATTAGTTGACTGTGTTGCGGATATTATTGTCAATAGATGACCTAGCTACATACCAATTTTTGAAAACTAAAAAGGCACTTAGGTAGGTATTACCGGAGATTCCAAGGATTTAACGTGTATTTAAATTTAGAACCTTTAACAAAGCTTATAATGTTATTCAAGGCTATGTCTTGCATGGCACCAAGATTTTCGAGAAAGAAAGCCTGTAAAGTGTTAAGACGGGGCCGCATATGTGCTAAACAGAAACAAAGCAGATGGGAGGAACTTTTATCATCCTCTTCACAACTGCATCAAGTATGACTGAAAGGGAGATGCATTCTTCTAGCATGGTAACCTAAAATGCAGTGATAACCCGTCTGACTAGCTCGTCTGGATTGCAATTGCCGAAAATATCTCTATGACCGGTAACACAGATTAGAGAAATACTATAAAAATTCAAAGTATTTTGGTTAATAGAAAATCCTTCGCCTTCACAGGATTTGTTTTTCAATTTAAGAAAAAAAAATATATTTATACAAGTGTTGAAAAAATTCTAAACTTAAATTAAATAAAAGCAAAATATAAATTTCAGAAATAGAATATAAAATTGTGTATATATATAACTGGATATGTATACATAATCCTATGAGAGACGAGAAATGTGAAGAAAAATAATTTGCATATGAGCAATGTTATTTGAATTGTGATAATATTTTTTAACAATTTTCACTTTATATCAAGTAATTTATCCATCATATGTACAGGGTGCTTCGCAGTAATACATATGTGGAAAGAAAATCTTGGTTCCAGAAATAAAAATAAATTATATATTAAAAAATAATTGACTAACGATGTCAAAGAAAAAAAGTCTTCGGAAACCACAAAAAAAAACATTCTATTATAAAATCGTCAGTATCTCATAATATTTTATTCTTTTATTGAATTAAGGAATCACCCACTAATTTATGTCGATTTGATATGGACCACCTTGCATGTAAATTCCATTTTAAAATAAAACTTGTCGGACCAAATAAAATTTTGTTTCCTAAACCTAACATGTAACATTTTTTCATATGCTCTGTTGACTATCAATGTTTATTTTTAATGTGCTCATTGTGTCCTTCTGTGGTTATACGAAACCTTGTATCTTTGAGATGGTGAGGATATGCTGAAATGTAATCCAACGTGCCAGTTAACACATTATTTATTTA